GACTTCATTATGGTCATCAGCAAGTCAGTTTGTCTGCTGCGTCTGGAAACAACGCTGATAAGAGGAACTATATGGCCTATACAAAGAGACCATGAAAGACCATAAAACACCCTGAGGGAAACTCTGTAGTCTATTTATAAATTGTCTGCGTTTTATTTCACTACAAGTGTCACCTTTCATAGCACAGTTATTGGACCCATTGTTTTAAAGTATTAATGAGTCCACTTTTAATTTTCAAACATAAATGTTTTCATGACAATAATCACAGTTTATATCATTATATATAGAAACAAGTACATTTAAATGTTCCTACATGATATAGGGTTGTTTAAAGGGGCCTTATAACACACATTTCAGGTTCATATTTGTATTGTGTGACTCTACAAATCCTTTGTACATGCTTTAATGTTCAAAAAGAGGTTTATTTTTCTCATATTTCCTGTGCTGCAGCACCTCTTTTCACCCTCCCATGCCCCTTAGCCTATAACCTACAATATGTTGGATTGCTAGCCGATAGAAGCATGAGTGTTACATCGTGCTGTCACTTTGTCACTGAAGTAAACAAGGGAGCCCAGAAAGAGAAACTCCCCCTGGAAGAACTTTGGGATTATGTTTAATAGGGCCCCTTTAACATAAAATAACAATGTTAGGTACAGTATTACTGTATTTTATCTTTGTTATATGAAACAAAAAGACACTTTTTCACTGAAGGCCTTTTCAAATATCCTATTTATTCCACATCCAGTATGTTAGAGCTTATAGGTAAGTAAGGTACCTCAAAACTTAACCTAAGTACTTACTAAATGTTTACCTTAGTTATTTCCCATAAGGGCGTTACTGTATGGCAGTGTCAAAGTGCTGTGATACAATGCAGTATGTTGCTATGCTGGTCTAAAAACATACAGTATTATAATTCACATGTCTTTCATTAATGCTGGGATTGAATGCAGTGCATATGTTTCCTTTTTAGTATGCATGAAATTCTTTGATATACTGCTTTCACTCCCTCGCAGCAGAACACACTTTGATTGCTTTTGCGTGTAACTGTATCTTCAGCCACATTAGGGACTTCATATTGAAACATTTAATCGGGGACAGGGCAACTAAATCTTCCCCCTCTTTGCTGAAATAGTTTGTTCCCTGTAATCAAGGTTTGGTGAATGGCATGACCATCATCTTCATCATCTCCCCTCACCACAGAAGGAGTTACAGGCTGAGGACTGATGGCAGGACTTTGGCTTCAGGCTTGTTTAACCCTACACTGAACAGATCATTGCAACAATGATATAGTTTGGATGACTATTGTAAAAGCCACAGAAATGTTTGATGTGAGACATTTTTCCCCAGGGGAGAGAGATGGGTTCAAAAAGAGGAAGTGTTTTTTCTACTTTTTTTTTAAGCCTTTGTTTTCAGTTTGTTTCCATTCCCCCTTTTTTGTTTTGAGATCTTTCACATTTAGCATGAGGGAGTTTCAAGAGTTTTGTCAAACAGTATTTCATGTTAAATTCAGCATGGTTTATATGCAAGGCCTAAACAAACCTCACATGTATATACACATAGTGAGTACAAAGTATATACCTCTGTCACTTAATTTTAAACAAATGAAGAACACAAAGAAACAGGAAGTTGCCTGTCACACAGATATGGAGTCACATGCTGCTGCATTTGATCACATGCTTTCTTCCACCCTGCAATGTGGTCTCTTTCTGAAACCAGCTTTGGCACAGTTTTGGAAACCCATCCATGTTCCACCAGAGAACAATAGCACTACACATGTTGTGATATCAAAGGTTGTAACCTTTAGAGCATTTAAGATAAACTTTCCCTTCCTTCACAGCGTCCCATTAAGGCTGAGAGACAAAGCCCATTCACAGAGGTAGGAAAAGACAGAGACAGGTTGTTGTTGTTGTCAGAATAGGCCATTCCTTAGATTTACCAAAGGCACCAAGAAAACTGTGCCAATTCATTGTGTGGGAGTGTGTGTTCACTATGTTGTATGAGTCTACACAAACCCACAACCATGTTGAATAAGTATTTCTCAGTATTTTGCTCTTTGACAGTATTTGTGAGTGCATTGAACTTAAAAGCACGAGGTCATGCTTAATAGTTCCCGTACACAGACAGAGTTCCTGCACATGTCTTTGCGATTTCCAAATAATTCCAATGTGTTTGTAAGCATGCTACAGTATATTAGTCACAGTCCTCTTATTAGTTGCAGTTGTGAGATGAAGGCTCTTGATCATTTAAAATTGATTTTAACATTGCTAACGGTTTGGCTCCAGGAATGGACATTTTTGTTGGTTGGTTTCCCCTTAGATCCACACTGAAATGTTTCAACAACTAATTGGATTGATTAAACCTTAAACAGATATTCATAGGGCCAATAGGATGAATCCCAATGACTTTGGTTATCCACAAGCTTTTTATCTAGTGCCATTTTATGGTCATAGTGTTGTCCTATATTTTGCTGACGACCAAAACTAATGACATTCTCATCAGCCTTGGTTGCACTTTGTGTTCCCTAATACGCACATTTAAGCATGCTAACACGCTATAACATTGTTGTCATGAGCCTGTTAGCATGGTTACATTTTTTTGAGAGAAAAACGTTTCTTATTCCGGTTGCATAGGGAGATCCCTTGATCATGTGCAATGTTACAAGAGAAGGCACTGATTTAAAGTACCTGATTGTTCTGTGCCACAATTCTCTGAGGCGATTTACAAGTTGTATTACATTTCTCTCTGCTGTGCAAACACACAGGCTCCTGGGACTCAAGAGCAGTGTTTAAAGTTTTTTTGTTCTTGGCACGAGCTGTTTTTGTGCATGTTATCCTGTATCAATGTCTTTATTGAAAGTGGTTTACAAAGACAGACGGAATGCGGCGGCTGGCTGGCAGTGGGTGCAGTGATCCAGCAGCTGGCTTGCTCTTACAGCCAGTGGACCAATCATGGGCTAATCAGTGATCAACCCTTCTCTCATGAGGGGGGAGTGCATCTGTTCAGAAAACTGTTAAAAAACCTAAGTGGGTAAAGTGTATAGTTATAAACAAGTTGCCTTCTGTGGACAGACAGACACTATTTACTTACGTAGCTCAAAAACGGTATACTAATCATACCTGCCTTTAAGACTATGTTTGCTAATCTGTACGGACACAATATGCTGAATTCACTATATTTAACAGAAATCAGCATCTTTCTAACTTTGCAATACTTGTCTGGCCACAGCTTAGTATTCACTGATCAGTATTCTTGTGGGCCCTCTCCTTTTGTGGCATACCTCCAGTTGGCACCTAGTGTGGGGGAGAGATCTAATAAGAAATGTGCAAACAATATACAGTATGTATATAATCCTGTGTGTGGGAGAGACACTGCAGTTGTGTTACCACTTCTTTCTACAAAAATGCCGAGAAAAGTGCAAAGAAACTGACATCCCCTTTGTAATGTGCTGCACACAGCGCTTGTTTGCCACCCGCGTTATCTGAAGGCATGCGTCCAGAGATTTGTCATCAGGTTGCTCTGTTTACCTTTCCACTCGACCCGAGCAGTTTACTGTAACGCCAAGCACCTGCTATTGAGCATCACACCACTCAGGATGTTTGCCTGCCGCTTGTTTATCTGTGTGTGTTCGATGAGGTAAGGGGTAAAAATTGTTCAAAGGCAAAGGAACATTTAGAAACTTGTCTGGGGGAAGCTAAAAGAAACAGAGGCAGGTGAAGTGACTAAAAAGATAATGTCTAAATGAACCTGGGCACACAGGAGTGTTGTGTGTTTCCTGCTGAAATGAAGCAGAAAAAGTGAAGTTATAAAGGAGTTTGTTTGGCTGTTGCGGTTAGTGAGCAGGATGTTGTGACCCTCTGGGAGCCAAAATGGGCTGAGGTCAGCGGGTAACGGCTGTTTTGGGTTCAGAGCGCTGTCGGATCTCCACCTTGTGGCTTGGACCCCATCTTGCAGTGCTGAACGGCTGGCAGGGTTGAAAAAACCAGACACACCTACCGAGAGCCAAAAGTAAAATAGGGTCAAAGAAATGGGTTAAACAAAAACTTTCACAAACATGAAGAGACCAGGGGTTTTCAAAAGAAACCTATACAGTATTTATAATTTTTTTTTAGCAGCATCAAAAATATACCCAGACGGTTTATATTAGTTCCTAAAAATGCACACATACTGGAGATACACTGACAATTATCACGGTCTTACTTTTATATTAAAGACAACTTAAATACGTTATCTCAGGCAAGTCATGAAGTCATAGGGAGTGTCTTTTTCCACACCAAACTCTGCCTACACTAAAACATGCTCACTAAAATCAATACAAGAGCTGTTAATAAAGCTCAGCGAGCCGGTGGTGTAAGAAGGAGTAGACGTCCTGTGAGGAGAGTTATAAGCTCTGGGGTCACAGGGTCAGGACTGAAACCTGACATCACGGCTTAAGTATGCAGAACAAAAACACATGTCTGCAAAGCCCCGGCAATAGTCCGGTAATTTATGGGTGTTATAGTGGACTTAACCTCTGTGTGTCTTCAATAAAATCCAACACGAGAGATATGTAGTGACTATCTCCACTTCTTATGTCATCTTTGATTAACTGTGTGCCCGGAACCCTTCCAGAAAAAAAGGAATTTAATTGAGTGACTTGGAATGGACACACCTAAATGAGTTAAGTGTGAAAAATATTAATTAAATATGAGCAGAACCCAGCAGTTGTTCTCTGTTGAGATCTGACAGCTCTAAATAAGATCTGAAAGGTGTGAATACTTTGAAGTAAATAAGGGTGTTTGCATAATGCTTGTAGCCTCCAGTATAGGTGAAACTTCTGGTTAAGCTATTTTGGAGCATGTCATTTCAAGTCTGCTGGGTTACAGCCTTTTAATGACATGGTTCAAGACTCTGAGAGCCACATGAGCATGACTGAGAAGTAGAAGAAGAAGAAGAAAAAAAACTGTCCAACCCCTCTGAAGATTTCCTGTTTCATGAAAACTGCACATAGTGTGTGAGTCATATAGGGCAAGTCCTGCCTGGTGTGTTTACTCTGCTCCTTCTACCCTGAGCTGTGAAGGCGTTTTGGGGCAGCAACAGGCGGACCGAACAAAGTCCGCGGAGTGTGGATACTTACCCGCTATAAAGGCTTCGGCTAATTAATGAAAAAGAGGGGAGGATATAGTTCGTTTTTAAATGGAGCTACTTCGGTTTTCCGCTTTTTGGTGTGGAGCGATACTCTTCGGTAGTTTTCAGCTCGAGGAGGCGGGTGAGTTGAGCTTTATACTTTGAGAAAAGTTTCTAAAGCTGCTAATGCGTTTTGTCACAGCTGCGGAGTGATTTCAGGAGCATGAAGCGTAAACGCGCGCTACTAAATGCCTCATTTTTTTCGAAAATAATATATTTGTCTCATTTATGTTTACACAGGTGTTTTACACCGACCAATAGTAGTCTACATTAACGAATCGCTTTTCATCATACAAATTCAAATGTATTAAAATATCCAAAACTCCTCAAGTGCGCAGGTTATTCTGCGTTATATTGTTGTATTTGGGGTTTTTGTCTTGCTTCCACTTTTAAGCTACTTTTCCTACGCATCCTGAAATGGAGCCTAACTTAATATCTGTTTACACTGCTAAGTGCTAACCTTCAGCCATTCACTTTGAATCCTTTTGGGAGGACATCACCTGTTGGAGGCCTAAGCCACACTCTAGACCCCCATCTGATGGGTTATCTCCATCTTTGATGTGCAGACACTCTGCTAACAGGTACCCCCTGAGGAAGACACTGTTTTACCTTCATCTGTGTCAGACTCAGTCCCAGCGGCACCAAATGGCTTTGGCTGCTCCTAATCCTCTTCCCCCCTCTCTGCAATTATATCTAGCCCTGGGTGACAATTACTACCATTCATCCCTTCCATAGCCCGCCTCCTGGGTTTAAATGACATGCTCTTTCAGAGGAGTTGCTCTAATGATATAATTACTCCGGCTCAACCACCTTCCCACCACTAGCACTCAGGCATGGACTATCCCCTCAGTGCTGATTTGGTTCAAAACACCTCAACAGACCCGCCGGGCAGAGTTTTGAATTGCTCTTCCAAGTAGATTAGTTTGAAGTTTAAGTGTAATATTTTGATGATTTTATTTTGTGTGGGTGTCTCATTTAAGACAAGGCAACAAAGCAATAACCATCTCTAATATCCTGCTAGCTTCCTGTGAAAGTAACTCACTGGCACAGGAAGAAGAGGCCATCGACTCACGCTGCATGTTGTACAGTATTTCTGCTGCTGCAAGCTGCAGGTCTAACCCGAGCCTGCAGATTGGGTGAACAGCACAGTAGACTTTTTGTGCAAGGTTAAGAGCAAACACACACGGCAACCTTTCCTCAAGTCAGTGTGAATACTGAACAGACTTCTTCACTGTCTCATGTCAAGAAGTTTGCTTTCCCTTGCACTTCCTAGTCGAAAACATCTCACGTTTTGGTCATGTGATCATAGACTTGTCAGTTCCATCTTTAGACAACGAGCTACCGCTTCAGACACATCACACATGTTTGTTTACAATGCTTCTTCTGGAGGTTATATTTCACTACAGTATTAAGGTAAATCTTAACCCACGTTCTCTCTTGGTCTGGGTGGTTACTACTGTATAGTTGCAAGCATGCATGGGAACAGGTTCCACTTCCTGTGCAATGACAGTAGTCAGCATACAGTAAAAGCGTGGTTATGTGGTTTTACTGAAGCAGCAATGTCAAATGTTTTCGTCCATGGTGGCTATTTTGATTTCAGTTTATTTTTCAGTTTTTATTATTTCTCAACATACACTCTCAAGATCCTGAAAGACTGCTGTCTTCATCGTTTCTCTTTCACCCTCAACCTCTCCGTGTTTTAAATAGACTCACAGCGAGTGGCCAAACTTCATTGAGCCACTATAATGTGGACACACTCATCATGTACCAACAACATCATGTGTGATTGTACACGAGACACATTTCTTCTAGATGATTCTTCAACCACTGGTGCTAGTAGAACAATGGATTATCCTCTGTGAGGGCCTTTTCCAAATCTTAAAACCGCAAAATCCACTTTCCACTTTCATGTGGTGGAGACTACTCTCTAGGAAAAGTAAAACCAGGTGACAGGTGATTTTTCACCTTCCTTGTTGCTCCATCTCTCCTTTCTGAGGCAGACAAAGGCATGCTTCCTGGCTGGTGTTGTTTATCATTAATAGCCTCTCAATGCAAGGACAGACTGCGGTCGGAGAATTTCTGTACGAATACAAACACTCAGCAACACCCACACAAACACACAAGCACATTTATTTCTCTTTCAAATCTTTTACAGACACTGAAACATAATGTCCTCCATTTTTTTGATATTCATGAACAGAGTTGGAACAACACCTTTCTAGATGGGGAGCCAACTCATTGACTTGACAAATTAGAGACTCCTCAGCGTCTCAGGAGATGCATCCGTGTTTCCTTTGTTTGTTGTTCTTGCCTGTCTGGCAGTTGTCTCCTCAGATGATTATCCAACCCACAGGCACTCATCACACAATCCTGTCTGTCTCCCTGATATGGGTTTGCCTCCCGGCAAAGTCAAGTCTGAACAAGACCAAAGGAGCTGGATTCCACTGCGCACTGCTCTTATTGTTCAGACTTCACAGAGAAAAAACTGTCCACCCCTCTAGCAAGAAATACTTTGGATTTTCGAGTGGTTATGTTTAATATCTGTTTCTACTTATAGCCAGATACCAAAAGACTCACACCCTTTAATTACATTTTAGGTTTATCTTGCTTTTCATGCTAATAAATATCATGTGTAGTCATGTTATACTGTCATCTGTTATGGCTGTGTGTGTGTTCCCCCAGGAGTCTTTCGGAGCCAAAATGCATATACGTAAATGGGGATGTGTTGGTTTTATGTTTTTACTGAGTAGACTCACTTTTTTTTGTATACTCAACTTAACATCTTTTTCCCCCTCTTCCAGAGGCCTACACGATAAAACTATCAAGGCTGTGCATGTTCTGTGATGTCCAGCCCACCGCCTGCACGGGTAAAGGGAGCTGCAAGGTGGAGTGTGGTATCACTTCCATCTGCCCCAGCAATGAAGATGTGTGTGTCAGTATCTGGTAAGTGTCCCTTAACAAACATATGTATATGAAGAAATACAGGGTTATGATTAAATAAACAAACATTTAATTTAATTGACACAAAAACGTATATATATGTACCAATCAACAGAAAGAAAATATGCCAACATTTTTTTAATCAATTGATCTTTCTAGTAAATGTTCATGCAAGAATAGCAGATAAAGTTTCAGCCTCTGAAATACAGAGATTCCATATTTTATTTTAATTGTTATTATTATAAACTTAATATATTTAGGTTTTGGGCTGACAAAATAGTGGTTAAAATAAATAACTGTGGATTAACTTTGGGATTTACGTTCTTTACTATTGTCTGATAGTGTGATAGTAAGACCGAATGTTTAATAAATTAATCTATGAATTGGTCCATATTGAAAATAATTGTTATGTGCAGCTCTAGTTATGATGCTAAAGGGTTAAGTAGAGAATAGCAAGGAAAAATAGCTTTTTATTTTATTACATTCACCTCCCAGGTGAATTTACAAACAAAGAATTGAGGAAATGAGGGCAGAAAAAGGTTACTCTTTTATTATTCAGACCCGGCTTGATTTTCTCCCAGTAGTCCTAGAAACTCTTCCTTGTATTGACCTTTACTTTGAACACTATGTGAGTCAGCAATCTGTTAAAGACTGGATCATGTTGGCATAAAAGCGCATAAACATCAAATCTGACTCTGAATGTGAGAAGCAGCAGGAAGCAGATTTGTGTTGGTGTTAAAAGCTTAAGGCTGTGCTGCTGTTTCTCATTATATTAGCAATGTTGCAGGCAAGTTCTGAGCTGAGATCAGCAGAAAGCTAATGGCACATGGACAGCGGCACCTCTTTAAAAATGTTCCTCATATCTGCACAGCGGGGAAGCAACATTTAAATATGTATATTTGTGCAGGTTCAGGGTTTTCCTGTTGAATTGCTGTTTAGTGAATATGACCCTTGTATTGCAGTAATTTACATAATGCTGAGAGTGTGCACTGAAAAAGACAAATATCCCATTTACAGTAACCACTTTATCACTGTTCAGCTTAAAAAATGTATTGTTTGCAACTGAAGACCTGCCACCATTGCCTTGTTACATGATAATAGAGATCTCTGAAAAGAAACTCAAACTTTATCCATTAAGTAACAGTATTTTCTATGTGTGTTTTCTCTTTCAAAGGAGGAGGAAAGATGACAATTTCACCTTTGACACAGTCTGTCATAACCGGTATCAGAAGCTGGACGGCCTGGTCCTGGAGGATTACAACAACAGCAAGTGTGAGATGAAAGAAAGAAAGGGCATGGGCTCAGAGTTCTTCATCTGCTCCTGCTCTGAGGACGAATGCAATCAGCAAATCTTCTTTAACTCCAGTAAGTAGAGACACAATTATTTCGCCTATCCTTCCCTCTCTTGAACTTAGTGATTTTCTTCAACCAAAAATACCACATGTTTATTAATGTTGCCGAACTTGCAATGACAATAAACTCTTGTCTTCCCGAAATTAAAGGAACATTTAATAAACATTTTGAGACATGAGCTTATTGGCTTTGCTGCAAAAGATGATAAATACCATCAATTATATCATTTATATGTGGAAGCAAATTGGCATACAGGCAGGACTATGTGAAACAGCTAGCTATTTTATTTGTTCCAGAGCAAGGCTAGCTGTTTCCCCTTTTTTCAGTATGTATACTAAGTTAGGCTAAATGATTGCTAGCTAGCCTGACATTGAATAGACATACAGGAAGTTCTCATTGCATGGGTAGTAGTGTGACAACCGCTGCCTTACTCCTTTCTGTAATGTTGCATCTAACGATTGTCACTTGTGTCTTGAAGGTAGCATTGTTTACCTGGTCGCTGCACTGCGGAGAGTAAAAGCCCTGCTCCAGTGTGTCTCCAGCTCGCTTACTGGCAGAACTCCTTCCTGAGAGCAACTACCTGTTATCTCATTTGTTTGGCACCGTCTTTGGTTTTGATATACAGAAATGACAGTAGAAAATACTCTCAAAAACATATAAAACAACTGTCAGTCGCAACCTGTTGGTCCTTTTAAAAACATGTTGCCATGTAAATCAAAGGCATTTTAATCATGCAAAACCCTACAGTGTTGATCTGATTAATTTCGAAAGGAGACTAGCATTGTATGTTTGAGACCACATTCCACCCATGCAATTATTCCTTTATATGAGTATTTACAAAGTAGCATAAGTTATGTATCAGTCCATCTCACTTGCATTCTTTCACAGTGAAGCAATAGTCCTGTTACACTGTTGTATGCATGTAGAAATGGGACTGTTTGGTTCTTACGTCTGCACAACATAACATGATAACGTCATAGTATGGGTCGGCCCTAATATTAATAAAGCAGTTTCTATCAGTTTGTCATGTAAGGCGTCGTGCATGAATGCTAACATGTGTACACTGTAATGCTCTCCAGATACATGATTACAAACAGGTTTTTGGAGACATTAGCTTGTAGACTCCAGTTACAACATTGGCCCTGGATTCAGATGTATTTTGACTACAGCATCCCGGCAATAATAACAGAGGTACATTTCTGGGACCTGGCTCTGAACATAGACACAAATTGAAAGCATCTGCACAGTGCAACCCACGTAGTGGAAATACTTTTGCCTGATGTTGAGAATGTCTGTGCACTGTCTGTAAATCCTCAGTGACTAACATTGTTGCAATGAAGGCGCTCCAGCTCCAGCTCAAACCCCCAAGGCTACAATACCAGTAAATCTCGGTGAATCCACCTCTTCCTCTGCTAGCTAGGGACCAGAGTCTCATTGTGCAACAACATTTTCTGTGATTGAGCTTTCACTTACAGTAATACTTTTCTCATACTTTTAGGACATTGCGAAAAAAAACTTCTCAAAGCCATTGCTTAACTTACGGGATATACTAAGTTGTGTGTCAGATAGAAGCTGAAATACCTCAGAGTCACCATGGTAACAGTAAACCTACTTTCCACAGAAATCTAATGCTCCCCTGACAAACAGGCTAATTGTGTTTTTGAAGCTTATGATGATTGAGAAATAAACAAAAGAGCAATGATGTTGAATATATTAACTAATCTACTTTGTATTACAACTAAAAGATTAAGTTATGCCATTCGTTCTGAAAGTTAGATATAAAATATAACTGCAGCTAGGAGGTGGTTAGCATAAAGACAGGGAAAGGGGAAAGGCTAGCCTGACTCTGTGTACAAACCTGAAATAAGAGTTGCTCTGAGGGGCTTTATGCCAGATCTACTCATGTAATCATTTACTCGAGTCTCCGCTGACTCCAGGAAGTCACTGAGCTTTGTCTTGTTTTGTTGCAGATTTTTCATCTACTGTATCTCAGTGAAATATCTGGAAAATACACCTGTTTGCTTTCTTGCCCCACATTTCACTGAACTATTCCTTTTAAGGAATTGTCCTCCTCATCTCCTAGATTTACTGTACCTTTAACAGTTAATACAATCGTTTTCAAATTCACAGAATCTCCTTTAAAGTGAGGGTTTGGGCCAAAGCGGAGCGATTCCCCGAGGCACAGTGACAGGTTTGCTGTGAGAAATAGCTTCTCACTGCGAAAATAAAAACAAACCGGCTGGGGCCGTGTAGAGGATTTCAGACATGTGGTTTCCTGTTTAGAAAAAAGTAATGGGAGAGAACCAGAGGGCTGGACTGAGTAGTCTGCTGGATGCCTTCACCATTAGTTTCCCTTATTTAAACCAGACTCTCTACTCACAGCTTCACTTGACTCGAAAATGAGTTTCTTATCAGTTCCTAAGCAAAATGGAAAAGAAAGTGAGCATAATTCTGCTTTGACTGTTGCTATCCTATATTTTGCAACCAAAATAAGGTATTCAATAGCTGATAAAAAATCTTGTAAAGTTTTGTTTATTGACATATACTAGTGTACTGTATAACAGATATGAAATATACATGTTCATTCAGAATATTGAAAACACAATTAAGGGAAAAACAGGCATATTTTCCGTGTGATCCTCTTACTAGGAAAACAAAAAGCTTTATAGGCTGCTGTGTGTGTGTGTGTGTGTGTGTGTGTGTGTGTGTGTGTGTGTGTGTGTGTGTGTGTGTGTGTGTGTGTGTGTGTGTGTGTGTGTGTGTGTGTGTGTGTGTGTGTGTGTGTGTGTGTGTGTCAGTTTAGCAGTTAGACAAGACAATGTATAAATGATTAAATTTAGAACTCATCAAACTGCAGACCAATTTGGGTTTCCCTGTTCAGTATGTTGTGTCTGGTGATGCAGATTTTATAGGTCTGTTTATGACTGCAGCTTCAAAAACTGGGGCATAAACACAGCGCGAGCATAAACTTTCACTGTTTACCAGACCGTACCAGACACAGCACCACCTAAATTATAAGAATACTATAAAGAGACACAATATGTGGTTGACTGGCTCAGGGTTTGGAGCTCTTTGCATTTGTGGCCTAGACGCTAACTTTAACTTTCTGAGGCTCGTAGACATTCCTCAGGGAAGGCTCAGGTTCCTCTGCTGCTCTGACAATATTATTTTACTCGAGTTGAGTTTTTTTTTTCATTTTCTTTTTTCGAAAACAAATTGTTTTATGATAATGCTCATTCCTTAAAAAGCACAAGTGTTCAAAACATTGCAAATCATATTGATACAAAGAAGAGACAATAATCAACTCTCCCCCTTTTTGAAAGTATTTTGAATACTAAAGTGGTCGGCAAAATAAACTCCATGTAGTTGCTGTTCTTGATCTTAAAACATGATCTTGGTTAGCAGATGGAATTCTCTCAGTGGTCATGACATTTTTTAAATTACTTTTTCATATATGAAAACTCATGAAATGATCAAAAGATCCAAATGTAACCAAACAGAATTTTATATTTAGTTTATTTTTGTATGTGTCTGTTTGCAAGGTCAAGAATAAACTCTAAAACCTACATATTATTATTATTTCTGGATATTGGAAGCACAATAACTTATTGAAAACCACACTGTCATAATAGTACTTGTGGAGCACATGTGTGTTTACACAGCCAGAGGCTCTGTACAGCTGAGAAGTAATTCAGGGTAAGGGGATAATACACTGTGGGATTGTCAATACCAGTATTTCTTTTCCATTGTTAAGATAAAAATGTAATGGATTAGACTGGCTTTACTCAATTATATAAATATGTGCATTTTCGTTATCCTAATCCTTCGGCTTCTGTTCCCTCAGACTCAGATTCCCAGGTGGTGGCGGTCATCCTGGTGAGCCTGGTGCCTCTGCTGGTCATGGCTGTTCTCGTCATCACGTCCTTTTACTGTTACCGGGTCTACCGCCAGCGGCAAGCCAGCTCCAGACGCAAGAAGGGTCTTCCGATGGATTTCAGTGACGGTCGGGCCATCATGGATGATGAAGGTTCAGACAGTAGCTCCACGCACGCCAACAACCTCAACCACAACACGGAGCTGCTGCCCATTGAACTGGACGTCCAGGTCGGGAAGGGACGCTTTGCAGAGGTTTACAAAGCCAAGCTCAAGCAGGGCTCCTCAGTCAGCGAGGAGCAAGGCTTTGAGACTGTGGCCATTAAAATTTTCCAATACGAGGAGTACGCCTCTTGGAAGAACGAGAAGGAAATTTTCTCAGACGCAGACTTGAGACATGAGAACGTGCTTCACTTCCTGACAGCAGAGGATAGGAAGGCGCAGAGACAGTGCTGGCTGATCACAGCCTACCATCCAAGAGGGAACCTCCAGGAGTTCTTGATCCACCACATCGTCAGCTGGCAGGACCTGTGGACGCTGGGTTTTTCACTAGCTGAGGGAGTGGCTCATCTTCACAGTGACCTCTTGCCCGGTGGTCGCTACAAGGTGCCGATCGCACACAGGGACATTAAGAGCTCCAACATACTCGTGAAAGACGATCTGACCTGCTGCCTGTGTGACTTTGGACTGGCCCTCCGCCTGGACAATGCTCTGTCTGTGGATGAGCTGGCCAACAGTGGGCAGGTAAAGCCCTCTAATCTGCAATTTTGCTTTTAATCCCCTCAGAGATAAAACAAAAATATCTCTTGTAAGAATTTGCCTTTTCAAGTTCTGCCCTACATTTCTTTAAAGATATGTATCAGACCTAGAACAGAGGCATGTTATCAATCAAACTGTTCATGTCTAATCCTGTTCACGCAAGGAAACCATCTCCACATTTGTGGCATCGTCAATATATTGGTCCCTCTTGAATAATACTGACGTTTTAAAAGTCCTGAGGTGATCATTTTCTCATAGTCTTAAGAAAAACAGGCTTGATTGATTCTTAATGGACTCATTACGTTGATGTAATAGGCCAAAGTCAAACTAGACTCTGTTATGAAAATGACTCACTCATAAGGACGCCTCACCCTTAGCTTCCTAGCACCCGTAATGCATTTGAATGCCCTAATGCATTCAGAGGAAGTGCCAGTGAACACATTTTCCAAGTTGGTAATTATGGGAAGACAAGCTATGTGTTGTTGTGCTGAGAGCTGCCTTTGTTTTTCCAATTATTTTACGCATCAAACATGTTTTGATTTGGATGAATGTGATGCGGCAGCTTTCTACAGCACAAAATGACCACCTGTCTTATGATTAATGCAGGTAAATAACTCGTACTGCTAAGATGGTCTGCTTAGAAGGCTCTTTTAGCTGAACAACTCCTTTTAGGTATTATGGACTTAAATAACATATACATCTTTTTCACCCTGCTTTCTTCTCAGGTGGGTACAGCCAGGTACATGGCCCCAGAGGTCCTGGAGTCCAGAATCAACTTAGAAAACATTGAGTCCTTCAAACAGGCCGATGTTTACTCCATGGCTCTTGTACTGTGGGAGATCATCTCCAGATGTAGCGCAATTGGAGGTAAGTTGTGATAATAAGACACGTATAATTGCAAGATGAAATGCTGATATTGTCTCCAAGTGATGCAAATGAGCATGAACAATGCCAAACTATTCCTTTAATTCTTTCCCACTTTGCTGCCTTTGTGTGTTTATAATGATCAATTGGGTTGTGTGGACACTTCCTTTAAACATAATACAAGAGCATTGTGCCCTTGCTGTACACAAAGTCAACATCACATGTGACCTTTAGTTAATAATAGACATAACCGCCTCTTCTTTGGTCAATTAGAGATTAGCCTGGGCCCTTGAGTGTAAAAGAAATCAATAGATGCACTGATGAAATTCCCTTTGGGGCCTGTGTGAATATTCTCAGAAATACTGTAAAAATACAAATTGCCTGCACAACTCGCCTGACCTCTGAGGAATACGAGCACATTGAGGGCTTTACCAATTAGGAGCGCAGTGACCAACTTCACCTTGAGTTCACTTACTAGATGTGTTACACTGTGCCACACCGTGTGTCTTCCACGACCCATTTATCACGCTGGGAACTGAATCTTAGTGTCGAACACACAATCCATCTTATGGAAGTGTCAAGGATCAGCGCTCACTTGACTAATGTACCGTTACTTGTGTTTTCATTCTGTTGCAAAAACAAGGCCAGGATATGTGCAAATAATAGAAATGGGTGATTATCTGAAGGCAAACTGTGCGGCAGTATTTCATGGCGACACTCAGTCATTTGTTTTCACTTCCCTTTAGTGTCTCTGTGGTCCAGTTTGCTTTCTGTGACTGCTCCTGTCTCCATTGTGTCAGAAAAGTGATTGAAAGCCGGGTTCGAGCATGAACGCTTCTACTTTGGCGGTTTCCTGTTTTGCCCCCATGATCACCCCTGGGAGCCCTCCTCAAAGTGTATCGCTCAGTTACACTGCCCAGGAGTCTTCTGAAAAACATCATGGCAGACTGACCCATAATCCCCCTTGCTTTTCTTTCCCATCAGCAAGAATATGTTCACCCTGTGGGTACACCTTTGAAAAGAAAATAGACTATTTCCTGTTTTGCAAAGAACACAGTACCCAAGACACACTGTTCTTAGTCTTAAGTATGGCCCCTTATGAGGATGTTTTGCGGCTAATGTCCCCTGAGAGCAGAGCAGACAGGATATATGTTGGTAGCGAGTTAGTCTTCTCGTTGTTTCCACTGGAGGGATTTAAGGGACAACAGCTTTATTCATCCCACTCATCCTCCTCCATGCATTTCATTCCTCTCCAAGTATTTCACTCCCTTACTGTACATGTGTTTAGATCTCGGCAAAAAGAACATTTTTACACAGCAGCTAACATTCCTTTAAACCAGATAAAACACGTTTCTGCACAGAAACATCTGAACTTGACTCTTCCGGCTCAGTTTCTTAACATTCTTCTGCCCCTGTCTTCCCACCCTAAGGCAGGTGAGGGAACAGTTAATCACTCTCCCACTGCACTGAAACACTGCAGACAGCCATTGGGCTTTACTCATGCCAGCAGAGACAGACTGGGAGGACAGGCTAGCGTAGATTTACTGGAAGGAGGGACGGACAGAGGGGGTTCCTGTCTCTCCCCTGCACCCGAACAGAGACGAAAGATAGAAGCAGCTGGAATAGTTCACGTGTTTTTCTGTGTATGTCTATCCACTTTTTCCAGACTTGGCATCTCTCCGAGACAAGCACAGGGGTGGAATCTGTAGTTCATTAGGGCCAAAACCCAAGGAGAGTCTCTAATGCGAAAAGGTTTGAACGTTGTGAAAACACAGTCAGCCTTCTACCTTGGTAGACCCGATGAAAAGGTATAATTAATAAGTAGCTTAAATGAGATGCAGTAATTGGATTTTGCTCCATTGGCAGCTAAGAAATGTCCTTGTTGGGTTGTATGCTGGCAGAGATCTGGTATTGATTCTGGAATCAGAGCACCATGAGAGTAAAACTGACGTGTTTACAGAGCGCACTTAAAGAGTTTCATGCTTCCACGCTGCTGGCCGCCTGCTTTCCCCGAAGTTGCCAAGCTGTCCCTGGAGGTCGATGAGTCACTAATGACACCCTGAGAGCTCACCTCCTTTGGACACAGAATATGAACACATGTGCGCACACAGACATTCAGAGTGACACATCCCAGGGCATCATCACAATGGCTCGGGTGCAGCCCTGGTTTTCTCTTATCTCTGATCGGGCCACCTGCCTGTGTGTGTCTGTGGCGGACAGATGTCTGATCAGCGCTCTGCGTCTCAGCGGCAGGCAGCCACACAGCCGCTCTGTCACAGTTCCTGGGGCCGCGCGCGGTCTGATCTGAGATCCGCCAGGCGAGAAGAACACAGCCGTCTGTTCGACAGCGCCAGTCAGCCAGCCATGAGCCATCACTTTGCTTTCTTTATCTTCCAAGACTACGAGGAGATAGAGTGAGAGATCAACACACCTCGGAGAAAAGGAAAAGCCAGATTCCAGGCTCAGGACTTTTTATCTCTCTCTCTGTTCCCTATAATGTCTCTGCTGTATAATTTAGCTGGTCTGGATTTAGGGCTTGGAAAAGACTACGAGGGCGTTTCTCAGGCGGGCGGGGCTATGTAGGGGGATAATAGTGGAGTGGTGTTGAATGTGGAGCTGCAGATGGAGAAATGCCTTCAGTCCCTAGAGGGAGAGGTTGGGCTAGACTGGAGAGGAGTGGAGGTTAGGGCAGCTGCTGTCCAGATGTCAGAACATCAACTCCTCCAGAACTGGAGGGCCTGATGGTCCTATGTGTGTGTGTGTGGGGGGGGGGGGGAGGGGTCTGCCATTTAGGGACACATTCTTGATGTTGATGGATTAGGGAGAAAGTGTTTGTGCCCATTTTGGTTTTATTGAAAATGCATCCAGTGTGAGCAAAAAATAGTTTTTGGGTCGTCTTTACTGGGGTGAGGTGAAGGTTAGGGGATGTTTATCAGCTAGAGTTAATGGTAGGGTAAGCCTCCAGGGTAAGCCAATGCCATATGTACAAACGTCAACTCTGCTAACGTGTACTGCACATGCATACATCTGTACTAAATGACTTAACAACCTGCGAGGAACACAAAACAAGTGTCACAGCCACCGCAGCTAATGAAAAGCAGCAGAGGCTGGGAGTAGATTAATCAGACTGTGTTGTTGCAGACAGACTTTTGGAAACAGACGATGTGATTGCGTTAGTCATTTATTTCCAAGCACATGTTTAAAACTCTTGTGTGTTTTCTGCATTATTTATGCATTGAGGTGACAGGATTTCAGAGGTTTCCCCCCCACCCATTATTTATGCTTTGTTGAGCTTGATTAGACAACAATGTTAACTTGAATAGACAGCATAACAAGAATATCAAACTAAATATCAAATGCTGGTATGGATAATGCTTGCTCTCATAATTTAGTCTGCTTTGTGTTTCTCTTTCTTGTTGTTTTGGTTCTGTTTGGCTTTGCTTCTGCAGTTTGACTAGAGTTTGACTATTAATATCTAAACATATATACGTCTATGTGCTAGGGCCATATACAAAACAGTAGCATGTGGTAAGTCCCTGAAAGACATGTCATGGATGTTTATCACAAAGCTTCTTAAGAGTGACCTTCACTTAGAAGTTTCCCCAGTCTGCCATTGTGGCTAAATGTAACAGATTTCTTTGGGCTACAGATTTCCAGATAGTTTTTACACGCATGTCTGACTCCTGGCATGGAAAATAGACATTAAGGAGGAAATATGTGCGAGCATGGCAAAATTCCCATCACTTCATGTCAGCTGTCGTAGGAGACAGAGTGTAACTTCCTCATTGTTAGTGTGCCGAACTTGTTATATTGCTCAGTACAAATCTTGTCAATATGCAGTGTGTGAGTTTTGCACACCGCAGCATTCCTCCCCCCTTGCGCTGTGTTGTGTTTTTCAAAAGCTTCTGCTAGTTTAGACTTTAATTTAAGGTTTGCCTGGCATAACAAGAACACATTTCCTTTTAGAGCAGGGTTGGCAAATCTTTTCATCCTGAAATACACACTTTTGTTTATACTGCAAAGTGCTCAGTAGTATATATTTTGGACCCATTGTTTGGAGATGAAGACATAAACATGTTTGCCCAATAGTTTAAAATGTGGGTTTTTTGTCCAGACAACGGTCATACACCTGTCAAAACAAAAAGAAACATCTGTCTCCGTTTTTCCTTAAATATTGACTGATGGTTGGGTGGGGTTGTGTTTAAACTTAAAACCAAGGCAGAGCAAACAAAAGAAAGTTGATGGAAGAGTCTTCTGTTGCATTACTCTGTGTCCCAGGAGCCTCTGATTCCTGTCTGAGGGAATCATAACTTCCTGTGAGCAGCTTTTTAACACGTTTTGAAAAAACAACAACTGTCATTTGGTTTATTTTTACGAACCGATACTGACAGGTGCAGTAGTTTACCACAGTTTTCATTTATAACAATTTGACATATATTATGAGTCTGTAAACAGGATGTGTCCGTTCATTTGCAGATACAACATGCTAGTTACTCAAGATCTGGCATACTTTGGTACTGCTTTGTTTTAAGTGATATAAACTCCATGGGACATTTAACTTATGTTTGCTGTCTCTGTTGTAGCAGACTACAGTAATTGCCAAATGCCTTGTTTTATAGCTTAATGATATTGATAGCAGCTACAGTGTTTTTGTAAGAGATATAACTGTAACCCTATCTTTGTTTTTGAGCCCCTTAGCGTTGTTAGTCATCACGTTTCCGACTTCTTGAATTACTTTTACCATTATTGTGCAATAACACATACTCTAAGTTTGACTCAATCAGGTTTAAGCTCATAGCTGAGGTAGCAATGAACTCTATTTACTTTAGAAATACAAAACTCTCTTTTTAAGTGAGGGAATTATAAAAAAAGGTATACAGTTTGGACGTGGTTAGGCTACATATGAGAGGGGTCATTGTGTTCATCAACAGTCAGTCACAAAGCTGTCAAAGCTGCCTAGAATAAATAAAGGGAAATTGTCTGTCTGTTTGAAGGCTTGTGTCTGTCTTTGTCAAGGCATGCTCTGTTTTCTCATCTCGTGGTCATCTTTAATTATTAAACACATTGAACTTTTCTCTTCAACATTCTTCACACAGTCATGTGCCTCATCAGGTTTCTCGATGGGTTCTCTGAGCCTTGTTTCCTTAACACAAGCCCTTTACGCTTCAAAGCAATTTGGAATTTGATTGTTTTTATACTCCAAGGACACATTCATTCATGTTAAGATCAATTGTCTTTGGAAATGTAACCTACTGTTTCCGGGCTATATTCTGCAGGCCAATGTTTTGCAGTCTTGCCCTGGGAAAACTGGCAAATTGCCTTTGACAAGCACTCTGGATTTGATAGTGTAAGAGAGCTGACACAAAGCTAGTGCTGCATTGGTGAGATACTTTAAGCCCACTGACGCTGAGGGTAAAAATGTGATAATAATAAGTGTGTCTCTTCAGCAAATCTCCCCCTCGGCCCCTCTATCAGCAGAGCAGGATTCTTTCGTTGTTTGTGCTGCTTCAGTGCTATTTAAAGTTTGCAACCTGCGGTTTTAATCTGGAGTGCACAGTGAATCCTTTGAGAGGTGTTGTTGATGAGTGCGCTGAGGGGCACCGGCATCTGATCTCGCCGCTCTATTCAACAGAGCTGTATCTTTCAGGAGATGTGAATCTGTTTCAAAGTGTAACGCTTGTAAAACACGACCAAAGCTCACCTGTTTGATGAGGTCACATGTTAATCCTTTCTGTACTTCCTTTTTTTGTGTGTGTGCCCGCAGAGGTGAAAGAGTACCAACCGCCCTTTGGGAACTTGAGGGAACACCCATGTGTGGAGAGCATGAAGGACAGCATTCTGCGGGACAGAGGAAGACCTGAGGTCCCCGACAGCTGGATCAGCCATCCAGTAAGAGGCACCACACTAACATAAATAAATAAAGTCCTGTTGGACAACCTACAAAATGCATCATATAACATTTCTCAGCCAAACTGTTTCAGGAATCATAGAACCAGATAAACTAAATTCAAAAACAAAACTAGGAACTGAAAGTGCCCTTTTCACCGTTCCGTTTCTCGAAAAAGAATTAGACAAGTAGCTTTATTTTGTTGATTTTCTTAGTGGTTCCCAGTTTTGTTTGTCTCATTCACGTGCATGTGGACGCACATGCACACAGGTGACACTATACACTTTCCTGCCAATTATGTAATACACAGCAAGAAAGAAGAAGACTGCATGCTAGTGAACATAGATGTAAACAATGCACACCCTTAAATACTTAAAGAATAGGCTTTGTTAAAGTTTTATGAGGTAGGAAATGCACTCAACACTCTTATTATACCTCAAGGATACACACAATGGCTTTTGTGTTTACACTTAATGCAAATGTAAACACTAGAAATCTCCACGAGAACCTTAAAGCTAACTTACATACTTAGTGCTATTTCAGCTTTAAAGTGCAAAACCTCATTATTTCTATTTAGAGTAATTTAATATAAAATAGGCCTTTTAACATGAAGGGAAGCTGTATTTCAGGGCTGCTGTACTGTGTCTGCTGCTACACAAATTGAAACTCATAAATGCACATGACATATTTTAGTTTCAGCTTGAGTTGATGACATTTTGTCTCAGTCAGACCTGCCCCCAGTCTGGATTATTGACTGATTACATCTGTGCTCCTCTGCTACCCTACAGGGCATCCAGATGGTGTGTGCCTCCATAGACGAGTGCTGGGACCACGACCCGGAAGCCCGCCTGACAGCCCAGTGTGTGGCTGAGCGCTTTGACGAAATGGAGTACCTGGACAAGCTGTCGGTGCGCTCTGACTCAGAGGAGAAGATCCCTGAGGAAATCCTAATGGTGGATGAGAAGTAGAGCTCAACACAAACAGCGCCCCCACCAGGGCGGCAGGAGATTTACAACCATGCCGCTGGGAGAGAATTCCAGTGGATGCATTAATTGCTATGGGTTGGTCACAAATGTGTGACAGAGGAGCAAATCATGGAGATGAAACAGAACTGGTTCCGGAGATGGACAGATGCAGAACACCAAAAATATAAGAAAAAGTGACCGGCTTGGTTTTCATCAACAAGCTTTAAAGACTCAATCAAATCATAAACAAACAGGGAAATTACATTATAAAGCTTTTTTTAACCAAATACTATTTGCACTTTATCAATATCTATGCACATCAAATGATATATATTCACTGTCTTTTTGTCCTGACAGTACAATTCAGGTATAGGAAATAATGGGACAGTTTTAGAAAAGAGGTTAAAAGGGCGCAATGTAATATATTACGATGGTTAATAACACTAATACCCCCCTTATAGTTTATTTGATTGAAAACATTTAAATGTTTGTCTTGGTGGCCGTGGATATTTTTCTTTGGGACCGGATTGAAGGTGCAAGTATCTTTTCTTGAGGCAGGAAATGGAAATTGCAGTGAGGTAAAAAATGAAAATCCATCCAAGGCAGTAATCTACAGGGACAGCTGATATCATATCTAAAGGACCAAGAGCTTTGAAACAAATACAGAAATTAAGCCTGAAAGGGAAAAAAGGGAACTTATATATACTGTGTTTGTGTGTGTATATACACATGTATTACTCAGAGGACTCAAGTCTGTTTAATCAGACCAAGATAACAAAGGGAATAGAGATATGTATAAACACTCGCTGCCTATGTATATGCTTTACAAGCTGAACTTGTTGTTACAGAAAAGGGAATTCTGAGACAGCAGTCAGACATTTTGTATATCAAAGTAATTTTGTATAAAAGTGTGTTTTATATCAAAACTATAATTAAAAGTGTTACGATCTAAGTGTGTCACTTTGGTGTTTTTGAAGCTATCATGTGTACTTTGTCCGTATGTTCCACTTTGTTTCTCTAAGAGTGTGTTATGAGATGATTGGCAGTCACTGTTGATGCACATTGTGAACCGCTTTCAAAGAAAATCTGAACTGCTCAACCCCCCCAAAAAAATAGTTTTCGACTCTATTACAACAAAAAGAAGCACACTACTATCCAGCATCCTACAGTATGAATGATTTACTAAAAACCCATTATTCTTTTTATTTTTTCCAAATTGAATCAAATGACACCTTTATTTTGCAAAGCTGCATATAGGCTACTGTTGATTCTCTGAAGGATCAAAAGGTTTATGTACTACCAAAGTTCCTCCAGATGTATCAATTCCCCCATATCAAATGTGGTTTGTCATTGCAGTCATAAATATTGAGAACGATTGACAGCGGTGGAGGCTCATGTGGAAGAGGCATGGATGTATAATAAGAACATGCGAAGCCCCTCCCTTACCGGTTTCCAAGAGCGAGAGATTTTTTTCTCCAGTTAAATACAGTCTATGTTTGGAACTGTGCCAATTACTAAGTAGATGTTTGTACATTTAAATATCCTTTTGCAATTCAAAAAAGTCGCATTTTTGTTTAATTAGCATCAAGTTTTGTATGAAACTGTTCGGAGAACTGCATTTCTCGTCTCGCACAATATACGTCACGCACTCAAGCCGTTATCTTGGCTTGCTAGAAAATGTTGCTTAGTTCAACACAAATGTATTAAGCGCTAACCTTAGTCCGCCGGCGAGCGACAGAACGAGCAAGACCACCAACTGAGGTGAGAACAACCCTACATGTTACAAGTAGTACCCATCACAGAGGTATCGTAACTCCAGTGAGAGTGGAAGCTATGACGTCACTTAAGCGACTTTTGGCAGTGTAGTGTTTTCACTGAGCAGAAACTCCGTTCAAACATCGAAACGTTCAGCTCGGTCGGGAATCGATGGCTATTACTTTTCTTATTCATAACTTTCATAATTCTAGAGATACATCCCATAATTCATCACATTTTTAACATGGAAGTCAATGGAGAAACTCTTCAGACTTGAACAATCTTCATGCAACTTCAACTGCTAACTGCTCCTTCATACTTTCACTCAGAAACCTCATTCCAACTTTAAAATGTTACACATCTTTCTGACATTATTCGTGTCGAACAACTTTTAAATCTGATTCGTACTTTTAGAGATCTTAAACATTGTTCAGACCTTGTTAAAGAGGCCTTCTTCAGATTTTAGAGTGCGTGATGTCACAGCTAGAGTGGAGGACAGATTTAATTTTGCCTTCATATTTTCTTTTAAACCTGCCATAATTCCCAAACACTATATTCCTGAGACATAATTTTTCATGAGAAACGTAGGAAAACATCTCATATCTTGAAAAATAAAAATAAATTAAGCAAAATAATTAAACAAAATGCCTCTTGAGGGCATGAAGGGCCACAAACTTTCAACATGTCTCCATTAAACCCCATTGTAAGTTCAGCCTCATCTTTCCCCACCACAGCAGCCGCATACCTTTAGTTAATCTGCCAAAAAGGCCACATTATTAACCCGAAAGTACACAAAAAGTACACTTCAGATGCTCAAGTTCCTTGACATGCTTCACGCTTTGCAATTTCACCGATATCTGTTACGGTTCTTCAACAAATTGTTCACATGTAAGAGGTTTATCTCTCATTCAGAACAATGCAAATGCTCTCCTCTCACTGATTACTGCACATCACCATGGAAACCTTTGATCTCTGGACACGTCGTTAGCTCAAATATAAACACCTGTGTCATGGAACACGATGATGTCATAACTCCAACTGACATGCTCAGAGCAGCAGACTTCAGATAATGGTTAACACAGCTCTACATCAAATCTGATGTTACGTAATGTGGTGTTACTATGGCAACGCATCCCTCGCCATAAAACAGCAGCAGACTTCAGATAATGGATAATGGTCCTGCCCTCAACAGCTCTACATCAATTATGGGGTGTCATCATATGCCGTTTCCATGGAAACGCACCCCTCGCCATGAAACACGATGTCGCTGTAACTCCAATGGACACGGTCCGATCGTCCCCAAACTTCACTTGTATATCACCGGTCCATGCCTCAACAGCTCTACACCAAATCTGAGATCTCACCATAGGCTGTTTCCATGGAAACGCATCCCTCGCCAAAAAACACGATGTTGTCGTAACTGATATGAAAATGGTCAAAACACCACCAGACTTCAGATGACAGTTAATGGTTTCCTCAAAAGTTGTTGCTATGGAAATGCATCCCTTGCAATAAAACACGATATTGCTATAACTCCTATGAAAATTGTCAAAAAGTGCTAAAACTTCACATGTGTGCAGTTTTGAGATTTCTTCAAATGCCGTTGCCATGGCAACACAATGCTCCATGAAACACGGTTATCTCATAACTTCAGTGAAAATGCTGCAAACAGCCCAAAACTTCACAGGTTTGGTAACGATGCAGCCATCAACATATCTAAGCGTATTATGGGGTGTCATCAAATACCGTTGCCATGGCGACAGATCATTCGCCATCAAGTTAGTTCAATAGTTTGCAGTTCAAATATTCTGCTGCTTTTCCAAGCCATTTTACTTTCTTTTCTTCTCTTATCACACATTCAAGCCCCCAGTGTTCATGTATCATTTCAATCTAAATTCTTCACTTTCTTCTTACACATTACATTTCAGCATAGCAATTCAGCGTCAGCTTTTCAGCATAAAGCATTCCCACTAGCAATTTCTTCAGGAATTGCATTCTCTAGTTTGACTTGCTGTTGCTTTAATTGGGTAGTTAAGATGGTAAGATAAAGATAGTAAAGATACGTAGACAGGAAATGGTGAGGGAGGTGACAAGTATAGGCATCTGATACAACAATGTAAAAGTGTAAGGACAAGTTCTTCATTTTAACCTACATGTATAAGACTAGTGAATATTGGGCTGGATGTGTTTTTGTACTCTCCTGTGATTGAGAATGTCTATTGAACATTCATGTAAAAAACACAAGCAGCCTACTATGTGATTTAAAAAGTACACATTTTAAAACACTTAATGCACAGAAAATATGCTTTTAGCTTGAAGCGATATAGCCTTTATTCATCATTAGGGAAATCTGCGCCTGCTGGATGACAAGCTCACTTAAATCATGATTGTGATAGCCCATCAGTTGCTCCCAGGTTTAGAGTAGGGAGTTCGTGTTTCAAACCTGGCAGGTTGACACCAACTTCAGTGGGAATCATGCATGCATATCCCTGTGCATCATTCTGGCATGTAACCTGCGTATCATCATGCATAATGCATACACAAGACATTTGCATGCTCATGTTGGCACGCACACATCCACTCACCATGCACTAAAAACAACTTCATCATTCATTCATGATTACACTAAGGCCTCCAAGATGCTTTAAATTTCAGTTTCTATCCAAAAATATGACAAATCTCTGAGAATTCTTCACACATCTTAATAATGGCAGCTGTCCATTGATTGACACACAGTTATATTGAGTGTGTTTGTGCTGGATGAGGTTCAGGTAAGAGGTACAGCCGGTCCACAGAGTGTTTGGCACAGAGTGTGTCTGCAGTGTGTGATGCCGACAGTCCTGAGCCCAGGGCGGACTCAGGCTGTCTGCCTACCTGTCTCTGCCACTATCTGCTGCTTTTAATTCATACACTGGCTCCCAGAATCTATATTGCAATGCTGTTAAAAATGGCTCCACTAGGCAAAGACTGACGAAACTGTAAATCAGTGTTTCAGTGGGATTAGAATGTTGTGAAGGGTGATAATATATTGATTTGATATCAATATCGGATATGAGACTGTCTTAGATTCTGAAGAGCTGTCTTTTCTTGGTTGTAAAGACTGCATTACAATACAAGGATGACATTTTCCCGAATACACCAGCTGCTCTATCATTGGTAGCATAGTTGTGTACAGTAAGTATTCATGTTAGCATGTCTGTGTTACATGTTATTAACCTGGTCTGCAGCTGTAAAGGAGCACCACTGAAAATGCATAAACGCTCTCGGGAACAGTGGGAAAGTGATTTATCAGCCACAGTGGGATGACTTATTTTCTTGTAGAGAAGATTATCATTGCCCTTCCTACAGTTTTCATGCTCTAGTTAAATAAACTATGCCATGGGCTAACTCAGTGTGCGCTGCACTACAGATACATTGGACACTGCCTCAGGCTATGTATACTGATGATGAATGTTTTTTAATTTTACATCATAAATGGATTACCGCAGGACTGTCAAAAGGAACAAAAGGAACATTTCTATTTATTTTTCAAAGGACAAAATGCATTTAAGAAAGTTAATTTGCTTGATTGCAGCTTTGCATTGCAGTAGCCGCAGAGCAAAGGTTTACACAGTGCAGTTTGGTAAAACCAGAAGTCAACAATAATCCTGTTCTGTTTAAACCCTGTTTGCACATTTTCTTTGCTGTACTGTACCTTGCGAATTAATTCACTTCATTTTGGATTTAGCTATTGGGGTCCTAACAATAATGACAAACAAATTACATTGTAGGTTGTGTCTTTCAGTTTTTAGTTTGTATATTAAACTTTATACCCTCAGTCAATTATGAATACTCCTGTCTGTGATACCATCCCAATTTGTGTTTTAATTAAGGCATCCTGGGAGCTTGTGCACACTTATTTACTTCTCTGCCAGGCACCAACACTACAGTAGAATATTGCCTTGAATTAACCTAACACCTGCAGTTTGTCTTTTGACCAGTAGAGGGCGTAGTGGTTCTACTGGATGCTGCATACAAAGACATCATTTGTGCTTTCTGGAGCCAACAGGGTGCTGAAGAGCAGGATCCAGAAAGCTAGCAACTATGCTTTGAGGGTAAAAAAAAATGGAAAGCCTGGCGTGTGAAAATGAAGCTCAAGATTTGACAGGTCTTTCCATTACTGAGAGTCAAGGCGCTAACCAGTATTCCAAAACTTGA